TCTCTCTCTCTCTCTCTCTCTCTCTCTCTCTCTCTCTTTGTTCCCGATACCAGCAGTCCGTCGCCACGTATCAACGCAGAGTTGTCATCCCGCTTGGTTCAAGCATGCAAGCCAGGTTTGCCCGTGCGCCACAGTCCGTCGCGGCCCCTCACGTCAACCCCACATACCCGACACCAGCTCATCGGATCGCCTAACTCTCGCACTCACTTACCTTCCAAACTTGCTTGTTAGCCGACCCTCACTGATCGAGCTAACCTCGAAATTCTTAGAGAGATAACTAATCGCGCTTGCGGAATTTATAGCGTGCATGCTTGCGCGAGGGATACGGGATTAGCCCTAAGTGATGAGAAGGAGAAGAGAGGAAGTGCCTACATCTACAATGCTCTGCATGTCTGGGCCGCAGCGCGGGGGACCGAGCCACTCTCCGCGCATCGATCCGGTCAGGCAGGCATAGGAACCAATCAGGTCGGGGAAGAAGATGTGCATACGCGGGCGAGCACAAGGCAAGAAGAGGGAAGAACACGATGGACATCAAGAACAAGAAGATTATAGTTGCAATCACACCCGCCAAAACTTTTACAGTTACGTGCAATATTGAGGCGCAAAAAGAAGTCAGAACCCAGATCTTGTCGCGGGAAGGCGTGCGTAAGCAAGGAGCGTCGTGCAGCAAAATCCAGAAGGCGCCTAAATTCCTAGCTTACGTCCTAATTGCAAAGGAAAAATTCCGAAGAAAAACAATTTCGAGAGCCCGTGGGGGCTCGACACGAGTTGAAAATTCAAAAACAATATTCCTGCGCGATGATCGCGCCAAAAATTCCTTGTGCTCACAGCAGAACAAGAAAGAAAAAGCTAAGGTACAGTTATTCTTCGCGCTCGCTAAGGCGCGGTTCTCCAACCATTGGCATGAGATCTTCCCAACACCGATCCGACATTCTCAGCGGAAAATGAAAAAGAAACGAGGACATCCATGCAATTTGTTCGCCGGACCCGTCTGTCCACAGCTCATCCCTTCGACCCGTCGTATTTCCCTAAACATCTTCGCGCAGAAAATCGCGCGGTTTCAGAAAGTGGTTCGTCACATATGTGACGCCCAGGGGGTTCCAATCTTGACCAAGCTTCTGCTTACTCTCTCGTTAGGTGTCGATCGGTTTTTCAATGATCGACGCAGCGCTAACACGTGCCACTTACCGTAAGATCCGAGTGTGGAAGTCATCCAACGTGGCATGCGTGCGCTCAATCCAAAATGTTGTCAGGGAAAGGCAATCTAATCACGGGTGGGGGAGGTGGTGGATGGGCCAGGGGGAGCGGAGGCATGAAGCGATGAATCTCCTCGTCATTGGAGGGGAGTGGAACAAAGTGGATAGAGCGATGGATGAGGGGGAAGTGAGGGTGCCAACGTTGATGGGGGAGAGAGGCAAGATAGTTTGGGTAGAGACTGCACAGGGTGCGGCGATTTGCAGTGCGGAAATCGTCATACTCTTCGCATGCGGGGATCGTGCCCGCGACGATGCAGTAGACCTCTATATTATTGTATTCACGCCAATCGAGTCTAAAGAGGAGGACGTGGAGGGGGAAAAAGGTGACGAGGGAGCGAGTAGTGGCATGCGGGAAGATGGTGATCAGGAGGCAGGTGACGTAGCGATGGTAGAAGAGGGAGAGGGGAAATGGCTGCCATGTATCCGGGAACGGGGGTTGACCTACGAGTTGTTGCACGGTAAGGAAGTCATGGGGACGGCGGGATAATGACCGGGTACGAAGCCCGTGCACCCGCATCTCGACGTAGGCAAAGGGCTGTGGGCCGAGCTGGGGAGAATTGGGAGGGCGATCGACTTCCTCGGCGGCGCCGGCTTCTGGATCCCTCCGCGGTGGGGTCATCTTGCTCGTCTTCCTCCCTCGGCGGTTCTGGATTGTGCGTCGGATCGTCCTGCATCGGGGGTGGCCCGTCTGATCCTTCGATCGGCCGCTTTCCTTCCGCTGCTGCCCGTACCCTCTGTGCCACGGCCTCCCTTTCCTCTCTACTTAATTCGTCGGGACCACTTAATTCCCCCGATTCACCTTCCTTTTCCCTTGATTCCACTCGACCCGAACTGGCTCCTTCCGACTCGGCGTCCTCCGATTCCCCATAGTCAGGATCGCCCGACTTTGCTCCTGATTCCTCCTCCTCTGGCGTCGTCCCACCTTCTGTATACTGGAGGTGATCGCCCTCTTCACTTTCTTCTTCTTCCTCATCAGCCTCCTCGTTGGTCTCTCCTATAGGGACGTGCCGAATGAGCGGGTCCCACGTGGAGTGATCAGTAACGTCGACGATCAGATATGCACCCCTCGAGGGGAGGTAGTAGCCGTTCCCCTCCAGTTCCGTACACGTGGACCAAAGGAGATGCGGCTCGAGGGTACGGACGAGTGCGGCTATCCCAGATCTCTCGTCGCAATGCGAGAGGATCTCCAAGGGCAGATCGTTCAGTACTTGGGTCAGGAACACCAGCAGTTCGTCCGTAATGGAGCTCAGATGGTCGTCTCGCACTTCCCCAAATATGATCCCCAAGAAGTCTCCCTCCGTGTCCATCCTGAGCAGCAACTCCACCTCGTCGTCCGGGATCTCGTCCTCCGCGCTCCTGTCGGAAGGCTCCACCCAATGGAAGGCGATCTCGAGGAGGCAGAAACTGAGTGCCACGTAAGCTTGTCGCCACTGCGTCCACTTAGGTGCGTCAAGAATCGGCACGTCTAAGGGCTTGATCGTGAAGGACAGGGAGGCTTCCTCGGACGATTGCCAAAACGTGGGGACGTCGGAGGGGAGGCTGAAGGTAGAGAGACGATGGCGGTTCATTGAGGCCGAGAAAAGGGATGAAGCACCGGGAGAGTGACTTCAGGTGCGGTGGAGGAGAAGCAGAGCTGGAGATCGATGTCGTTCATCGTCACGACGTGATCGCGAGGCCATGCCAATAGCCGCACCCACTCGACCGTAAGGCTCAATGCCCAGTCTCGCAGTTGTCGGAGGATGGCAGTGTGCCGTGCTGGGTGTAGCGTCGAGAGGTTGCATGAGAAGACGACGACGACCGACACGTGGCTTTCTCCTGGTGGAGAAAGGCGCAAGAAGGCTGACGCCTCAGCCAACACTCGCGCTACTCCGGATTGTCCAAATTGGAACTCCGTTGCCGTGTGGATGGCCGCCATGCTGAAGAAGGCCGCGAATCGGAGAAGATCCGGACTCAACCGAGGATGACGCACTTGCCGGATTGCTGAGAAGGCTCCCCCAGGTACCATTAGTCGCTCGCTGATCACCTGCTCCGTCGAAAAGCTCATGGCGATGGAGGCGGGGTCGAAGACGATGGTTGAGAGAGAAAGGAGGATTCTAGAGAGTCATCGCCCCCGTCTTGACCGAGGGACGATGCAGAAGGGAAAGAGGGGAGGGGACGAAGATAGAACACGTGTCGAATGATCGGACGAGCCGATCGACTTCCCGACACCTCCGGCGCAAGCCGCACCGTGTTCACCCCACTCGGACCGAGCTCGACTATGCAAAATTGCCTGAAGAATCGTGGCGCTAACTTGCCTTGGCGAGCACATTTCCTCACCTACACGATGTCCCCTAATTTATATTGGGGTCGGGGCCCAGCGTTCCTATTCCGGGCCTCGTAGCTCCGGACCTGTCTCCCGTGGGCCATTTCTGCCATTAGTTGTCTTTTTCGGGCTAGTCGAGGGAGGGCCTTCTCCATCAGCTCTAAATGGCGTTGGGCCTTATCCTTAACCGTCGCTCTAGTGGTCCGTCGTGGAAAGGCCGTCTCGTCATTCAGGCTCGGTAGGGCTACACAGGGCCGGCTGTTGGTCCGTAGTTGAAAGGGGGTCAGACCCGTGGACTCGTGGGGTGTCCCCCGATGGATAGCCAACATATGGTCGATGATATCGCCGATCATATCGGGCCATGGCCTCGTGTCATTTGCCGCAATGTTACGTCACAAAGCGGTCTTAATCACCCGATTGGCGTTTTCTACCAGTCCGTTGGATTGCGACATATGGGGAGCAGTATTACGAATGGAGACACCGTGTAGGACCAGATTCCTCAGAACCTCCCCTCTAAATGCTGCTCCATTGTCCGTAAGTATTTCTTTGGCGTCCTGATGCATCCCGAGGAAACGGTTGACATACCACGCTATTTACGTCGTCTGTCTAGTCCGACATGGGTAGGCCTCGATCCATTTTGAAAAGTGGTCGACGAACACCAAGAGGATTGAATATTCACAGCTATTCGGCCCAGGGGGCACGACAATATCCGTCGTATTCATGCTAACCCTCTGACACGGTCGTTGAACTTCAGTGGGCACTATTAATCTAGGCGTCTGAATCGGCGCCTTGTCAGCGGCGCAAACCTGACAATTTTGGACGATGAATTTAACATCGTCGCGAATATTGGACCAATACCATTCGTTTTTGTCAATTGCCGCCTATGTAATCCGTACGGCAAAGTGAGTTGTGGTCTCTTCGTGTGCCGACTTGACCCAATCATACCTCATGAATGGGTGGGGAACGGCCATCCAAATCCCACTACCGTCAGTCTTCCGTTTTTCCAACCGTCCGTTGGTCCATCGATAGTCCCGTGCCCTCTCATTAACCCTTCTACGGTCCTCTTTGGTAAAGTCCCGGAGGGGGTTCCCGACTACGGTGGCTATTAAAATGACATGTGTCCATACTTCGGCCCTCCTAAACCTACGGGTTTTTTTCTAACCCCTCCGACATGGCTTCCAGGAAGCGGGCCTCAGTATGAATTTTGTCGGATCGGCACAAGGGACACAACCAGGCCTTGTCTACGTTCCGATACTGAATGCAGGCACCATGGGCCCTGAAAACACAGTGCCTACAATCTACCCATTCGACATACCCTTCCCCGCTAGGACGCATAGGGACCGAATAGACACGCGAGATCGCCTCGCAGAAGTAACAAAATTTGTCAGGCAAAGAGAAGAGAGACGAGGACGAGAGGGGAGAGAGGGGACCACCAGAATTACCTCCATCGCCCATTGTCACATGTCACTTCTTAGCACGTGGAAGGATGGCCACCTATCCATACTGCGGCCCACTGACTAGTTTCGGTTCTTTCCACGGGATGATTTCTTCTCCCTTAGTAACCTTGGTTGGTCGGTGCAGTCGTGTCAACCCATCCGCGTTCCTGTGTCTTTCCGTCTTCCGATGGACGATGTCGAAAACGTACTCCTGCAGCCGCACTGTGCAGCGTCCAATCATGCCCGTGTAATTGGTGAGCCTCTTGAGGGCCAACAGGGGCTCATGATCCGTGACGAGGAGGAATTTCTGTCCGTACAGATACGGATGGAAGTGTTGAATCCCCCACACCACCGCGTAGCATTCCCCTTGAGGCGTCGAGTCGTTTCTCCTTTCGTCTGGTACGGTCCTGGATGAGTACTCGATGACGTGCTCGTGGCCGTCCTTCCCTTTTTGCACCAAAATAGCGGAGATCGCTTCAGGTTGCCAGTCCGTGACAAGTACAAATTGCTTCTCGGGGTCGGGCTTGATCAAAATAGGGGCAGTGGCCAAGGCTTCCTTCAATGTCGCAAAGGCCTGCTCGCACTCAGCGTCCCATTTCAACGGTTGGTCTTTTCGCAAGAGGTTCATCAGAGGCCGTGCAATTGACGCAAAACCCTTGATAAATCGTCGGTAGTACAAGGCAAGCCTCAAGAAGGTTCGGCCTTGCGTTAGTGACGTGGGCGTCGGGGCGTCTCGAACTGCCGCGACCTTTCTCGAACTCGGCCGCAAGCCCCTTTGCGTCACCACGTACCCCAGGAACGAGATTTCCGATAGGGAAAACTCGCTCTTCTTCAGGGCGATCTTGAAGCCCTCGTCTCGTAGCGCTCCAAGTGTCCATTTGATGTGTTGCGCATGTCCGTGAAACGATTCCGAATACACCAGGATGTTTTATATGTACACGATGACGCAGATCATCGCCCTTTGAAACGTAGTCGGAGCGTTGCAAATGCCCATAGGACATCGAACCCATTGCCACGTGCCTTCGAATAACACGGACGCCGTTTTAGGACGATCCTCTTTCTTCACCAATATGTGGTGGAACCCATGGCGGATATCGAATTTACTAAAGTAGTTAGCACACCCAATCGCATCCAACAAATCATCAATCCGTGGGAGGGGATATACATTTTTGGTCGTGATGTCATTCAGTTCTCGATAATCGATACAAATGCGAATGGATCCGGGATGTTTAGGGACTAAAACCATGGGAAAGGACCACGGCTCGGTAGCGGGTTCGATCCAACCGTTGGCCTCAAATTCTCTGATTCGTTCTAGGGCGGTTCGTCTTTCGACCAACGAGTATCTGTATGGCTTACAATGAATCGACGGGTGGGCGCCAGTCTGGATCTCATGCTGTATGACCAGGGATAGTCCTATGTCTGTGTCCTCTATACTAATTTCCCTCTGATATTCGGTTAGGATGTTTGCAATGAGTTTGTGTATCTTGTCCGGCACATAGTCCGGCACATGCAGTTCGTAGTGGCAGTCTCGTATCGCCACTGGTAGTTGTTTTGTCTTGGCCACGTGGGTCTTTCTTGTGGGTGGAGATGATATGAAGGAATGGTCGGAATGCCAGGAGAAGATCGTGGCAACCATCTGAGCTTCCTCTTCTATGATTGCCACATGTTCCTCCGGGGTGATGCCGTCCTCGATATCTCGGAGGTCCATAACCTTCTTCTCGATTTTTAACCCAATATCGAATGGGGCAAGGTCGTACAGCCCAGGGGGTTCCGAAGTCCAATTTTTGGCGCCCCTCTGTAGCAGTCGGATTTCTTTTCCTTTGGTGAGCAACGAACCGGGAGGGATTTTTGAGAGATCGCAGAAGGACCGCTTATCCTGATATCTAGGTAACAATGGGGTGGTCGCCTCGTATATAGTTCGAGGGGGTTCCCATGAATCCGTCAACCGAGATATCTAGATAAGTGGTTCTCCCATGATGAGCGCTCTGGTTCATTGCGCATCCCTTGTGAAAACGAAAGTTTCCACAGTTTTTTGTGAAGTGGGTAGCAGATTCTTTGTCGTGTTAGCTCGAGAATTTGAGGATGTGCATCGTCCTCACTCTCGGAGGTGGATGACCGTAATGTGGGCTCGACGTCGGATTCGTCCGTGGACTCTTCCCACCTTATCATTCGTAGGATTTCGCAAGGTCCCGGTCGTTGTCGCTCAGACATCGAGGTTGTCCGGAGGGTGAGGCGCATTGGGACGGTGTATGGCTTTCCTCCAGTGTTGTTGAGGATAACTGCTTGTCGTTCGAAATCCAGCGTGGCCCATAAGGCTATGAGGACTGGTAACGAGGACATCGTATGTGGTCACATTTAGGACCACTACGTCGCTTAAGGCGTGGACTTTACCTATTCAAAAAGTGACGTTGGACATCCTTCCTGCAACTCGAATCTTACCTTTGTCGGGGGAAACGAAGTGATCGCCCTCTGCGAGAGGAATCACGTCTTTCCGTCGGCCAGCCCGCTCGACCACCCGTAGTGAGATGGCCAGGACCGCGGCCCCGAAGTCAAGAACTGCACTGTAGGGGTTTCCCCAGACTTCCACGTCGCACTCTGCGGATCTCCATGGCAGGGCTTTGATCCGTAGGAAGTGATCGTCTTTCCGAATTAGGCCCATCCGGACAGGTTCGGAGGTGCTTGGCTCCTCCGGCTTCGGATCTCTAGCAAGAGCCTTTCCTTTTACGGTTGCCAATTTGGCAAGGGCAAATCGCTTCCGGTTTGCTTTGCAGTGCTGTAGCATCCGGTCGTTAGCCTGTTCGGAGATGGTTAGCAGGTGTCCGATGGGCAAGGGGATGCGGTGATCCAAGGCACGGACTATATCTAACACATCAATCTCTCCTGTAACGAACACGGGCCCTCCAGATTCCATTTCCCTCGGGGAGGGTCTCCATTCCGAAACTTCGTTATCGTCGGGGGCAGATTGGATGGCCCCTATCATGTCGAGGCCCGGGTATCCCAACGATATGTACTGGTCGAGCGGGATAAGCTCCGCCGCTTCCTCCGTGACCCTCGACGGGCTTGCCCCGCTGTCGGTTTCTTCTACCATTGCGGCCACCCGACCAAGTCCGTTAGCAATTGGTGTTGCAGCTGCTGGCGCGGTTCTTGTTTGCGTAAGACGGTGGGGACAGTCCCGAGCTATGTGCCCGAGTTGATGACACGTGTAACAAACACTTACATTAGCTGCCACCGCGTCCACTGCTGGAGGGGGGGCTGCCCTTGGCATTCATTGGTGCTGCTCTAACGGCAATAGGGCGCATCAATCTCATCAATGATTCGATCCGTGCATTGTGCTCGCGTTGTTCCTTCTTACTTTCTTGCATTAGGCTAACCAGTGTTCGAGTTAGTTCTAGTATCACGTTTGACTCACTAGGCCTTGCAGGGGCTTCTGGGGTAGGCGGAGGCATAGCCACAATCGGTAATCCTGA